GGGGGGGGGGGGGGGGGGAGTAAGAATATAAGTGAAGGAAAGAAGAAAGTTCCGAGAGCTCAAATAACTGATGTAAGCTATGTAAACGTGTATTAAGATTCATTCAAGAATATTTTCTGGTCATTTAAAAACATTATTACAACAACAATCTTGGTGAAGATAAGGTTAAGTAATGAGAAATAATAGAGGAAGATAAGAATACTTTGCTTGCAAGGTAAGTTCATGTTTGGAGAGTTATCTTTTTATCTTAGAAGGTGAATAACGAATCTTTTGTTTTATGGTTATGACTCTTTTTTGTATATATAAAGTCATAAGTAACCATAAATAGTATGGCCACTTCCCACACGAATGCTTAACTTCGAAGACGGTGGTGAGCATTCATTCTCTTGTTGTTTTCTAATGATTCGGCCAGCTAACATGTGTTGGTATTAACTTGTTTTTCGCAAATGTGTGGGTAAATATGCAACTCATTCTAATCAGATTTTTGAATTGATTTTGTAGTTTTATATTCTAATGATTATATATATATATATTAAAAGAACTAAATTTTAGTTTATTATATTTAGAACACAATTTTTTTTTTTATATTAGCTCTGTTCGCTTCTCTGACGCTGCGATCAGAGTCAGCATCCAGAAAATACAACTATTCCATAACAAATTCACAGCTGATGGGAATAAAACTTTTTTTTAGCCGCTGCGGTTAACAAAAGTGGATAAATTTGATGTCGGAGGTGATCTCTTCATTTTATGTCTTGGGAATTTGTCGGCGATTGATGTTTTTTTGACACAACTACCGATCTTAAGGGTCTTTAAGGATATTCCTTAACATCTTCTCTATTAAAAGAGAAGTACCAAATTTATCTAGTATTTAGAAGTCATAATGAACCATGTCATTAATTATTCAATTTGACATATTTGATTGTTACATTGTCAAATATATATTATTTTAAAAATATCTTAATAATTAATAAATATATTAATAATAAATGAATTTAAATACAAAAAAATCTGTTGAAAAAATCTAATAAGATCTTACCAAAAATTTAAATATTTTTTTTTATAAATAGGTATTTCTTTATTTACTTATTAGATATAATTATAGTTAAAGCTAAAATATAAATCTTATATTTAAAAATTTTAGTTATATATTTATAAAATAAAAAATATACCCGCACGTTCGTGCGGGTGAAAGTCTAGTTTTTAGTTAAAAGTTAAGACTTTTTTGTTAAAGGACAACGCTAAGGGACCATTAATAATGTTGCCCTTATAGTAACATTAAGATGTCATATGACGTCTTACTTTACATAGTGTGTCTTGTGTCCAAGCATAATTCTCTTGTTGTTTGAAATTTGAGCTGAAAATTTATTTATTCAGACAAAGTTCTCTCTAATTCCTTTTGATGCAGTACAAATTATCAAAGTAATCTACCATTTTCTTTCCGAAGTTAAAAAAGTTATCAATTTCATAGTCATCCAAAATGCAACATGGGTTCCTAATCACATATCCCCAAATACGTTAGGCCCCTAAGGCCCAAGAGTATGAATTCTAATATCATTCAGAGCTAAATCAATCCGTTTAGTAACAAGGCCCACATACAACTATTTCAAAAACCAAAAAAAAAACACTTGGTGAGAGATTTGGGTGTTAGTGTAGAATTGAATCACATCCACAGAAAAGCCAAACCACGAACTCTGTTTTACACTCATTATCTTACACAAACACAATGGCTCCAAATCAAACACCACTTCCCCTCAAAACCTCCACCTTCTCTCGAAACCAAAACCATGCTATTAAACATCTCATCTTCTCCAATCTCTCATCGTAACCCTCACTTCCTCTCCCCTCTCAACCGATCCAAAACCCATCTCTCAAAATCTCACCTTTCTCCCAATCTCTCTCCTTTACCGAACCGAACCCTCAAAAACAGAGCACCCTTCGGAAACAAGACCTCCCCACATGGAAAAAACCTCACTTTCAGACCAAAAGCTCTCCCCGGGATCGACTTAGGAAGCTTCGAATCCGTTCTAGAGGCAACAGCCGTCCTCACCGCCATCATCGTCGTCCACGAATCCGGCCACTTCCTCGCCGCAACCCTCCAAGGCATCCACGTCAGCAAGTTCGCTATCGGCTTCGGTCCGATCCTCGCCAAATTCGATTACAACAACGTAGAGTATTCCCTCAGAGCCTTCCCTCTTGGTGGCTTCGTTGGTTTCCCCGACAACGATCCCGACAGCGAGATTCCGACAAACGATGCTAACCTGCTCAAAAACAGACCGGTTTTAGATAGATCGATTGTTGTCTCAGCTGGAATCATCGCTAACGTTGTCTTTGCTTATGTTATAATCTTTGTACAAGTGTTATCAGTTGGTTTGCCTGTTCAAGAAGCGTTCCCTGGTGTTCTTGTCCCCGAAGTTAAGACCTTTTCCGCTGCTTCTCGCGATGGGTTGCTTCCTGGTGACGTTATCCTCTCTGTGGATGGTGCTGAGTTGTCGAAAACAGGACCTGACGCTGTCTCTAAGGTTGTTGACGTTGTTAAGAGAAGTCCGGAGAGTGATGTGTTGTTTAGAGTCGAGAGAGGGAATCAAGATTTGGTTGTTCGAGTTAGGCCGGATAAGAACTTTGATGGGGCGGGGAAGATCGGTGTTCAGTTATCTCCGAACGTTAGAATCACTAAGGTGAGGCCGAGGAATGTTTCTGAGACGTTTAGGTTCGCGGGGAAGGAGTTTATGGGGTTGTCTTCTAATGTAGTTGACGGTCTGAAACAGACGTTCTTGAACTTCTCTCAGACAGCGAGTAAAGTGGCAGGTCCTGTGGCGATCATTGCGGTGGGAGCAGAAGTGGCGAGATCGAATACTGACGGGCTTTACCAATTCGCGGCGTTGCTGAATATCAACCTGGCGGTGATCAATCTGTTGCCGTTGCCTGCTCTTGACGGTGGAACTTTGGCGTTGATATTGTTGGAAGCGGTTAGAGGAGGGAGGAAGCTACCTGTGGAGGTGGAACAGGGGATCATGTCTTCAGGGATTATGCTTGTGATATTCCTTGGATTGTTTCTTATTGTCAAGGACACACTTAGCCTTGATTTTATTCGAGAAATGTTGTAGTTGTTATTATCTCTTTTGTCAAAATGAAAAGTGTTTTGAGTAATGTGATACTGAATGTGGAAATGATTTGTGATTCGGTGAATAAGTCATAAGGGTAGGTTTTGAGCTCATGACTCTACAGCCATGTAGATGGTGATGCTCTCTCAATACAAGCTTGCCATAAATAGTTTGCATCTCAAGGTTTTTTTTTTCTTTTTGATACTCGTAAACTGATTTCAGAAGCTTTCTAGGTTCAAGAACTAATCACCACGAAATCCACAAGAGTCTACATTTTCCTATCATATAAACATTCTGGGTGGCCGAACTTGAATCCAGGTGGTGGACTGGTGGTTCCGATGTTATTATATCTGTTACGTTTATGTTGACTGAGCAAAAAAAAAAAAAAAGACATAGCTTTAGATTGATTTGTCGATAGAAAAATAATCCAGAACAACGACAGTTTGAGTTCGTTCATGTCGTTTTTTACTGTCAGAGAAAAAGAGAAAAGAAAATGAGTTTTATTGCTTGAACCCAAACTAGCATTTTTTCTTGAATTTATTTTTCTGTCAATAAATCAAAACGACATTGTTTCTTTTTTCTGCTCAATCAACATAAATGTAACAAGATATAATGACACTGTAACAGAGGAAATAACTCCATCCGAGTCGAGGCATGAAATAACGAAGAGCTACAAGATTATATGCATAATGGTTCATTTTGCTCACTCTCAACTTACTATGGATCTCAATGCAAAAAAAAATAAAAATGGATTTATCAGGAATCGAAACCAGATTGTTTACTTTTCAAACAAAATATTTACCATCAGACTACTATGGATACTTGTATATTTTAAGAATATTAGACTATAGTACCTAAGTTTATATTATAATAGGGCACTCTGTTCACTCCTAACGCACAACGTCAACATATTTGTGGATCCCACTGTAAGAAATATAAAAATGGATTTGTCAAGAATCGAAACCAGTTGTTTACTTTTCAAACAAAATATTTACCACCAGATTACTACGGATACTTGACATATTTTAGGAATAATAGACTATAGTACTTAAGTTATTTTATAAATAAAATGTATTTAATTCCTAGGTATCCCCGATTACTGATTAATTCGCTAGATCTTCATATTCATAGAATGTGTGTTTCTATTTTCATGAATTACTTTTTCTTACTCCACATTTACATCTCCTATTTTTATTCTGTTGATTAACAATAGACCACATTCATAACACATCTTGTATTTCGGTTAATATATACTTTATCTAAACAGAGGAATCGTTCATATTTGATTTACTTATTGATTCTTCTTTTAGACAAATTTTATTACATCTTCTCGGAAATGACTTCATCTTCAGCGTTAGATGTTGATAGATTGATTAGTAGTATTATCATAAAAATTATACTTTTATTATCCAATCAACATTTATGAGAAAAGCATTTAGAAATTCATTCACAAGATGCTAATGTTCTCCAAATGTTATTTTCTCAAATGTCTCATATAGAGCTTTTGGAAGATCATTTGTTCTTAAAAAATATAAAAATTAACAATACATAATTATTTTCCAAAAAATGTAATTAAATAAAAATGGATAATTTATGAGAAAGAGAAGAACATTGGGCATTTAACAAGATTGCATAATAGTACCAATTTACTCTGTTAAGTAATAATGAACCATGTTCATAATACCTCATGCATTACGCTTAATATATACTATATCTAATTGGAGAAACCATTCATCTTTGTTTCTCTCATTAATTCTTTTCCAGTCAAATATTATCACATCTTCTCAAAAATAACTTCAGTTTTTGCTTCGATTGCTAAAGTCGGTGCATGCGTCTCAACTTTTGATTTTCTTTACTTTGGTCGAACTGCTCAGTTTATGGTTGTTTGTTGCCTCCGTTTATGGGATTCTATGAATATAAAAATGGCGAATTTATGAGAATTAAAGAAGATTGAGAAGAACCTTTGACATTTAACAAGTCTGCATAATGTTTGCGGATATATAAAACTTTTGAAAACTTTATTGACTAATACAAAAGACTTCACACGCTATATGAGTCCAGCTTATATGTCAAACATCAAAAGATATAATAAAATTATAGAATACATCAATTATATCTCTGAAACCGCGTTTGCGCGGGGACTATATTATAATGGTTGAGTTTCAAGACTCCTGTAGGATCCACGTGTTATTCCATCCGGTCAACCACGTTATCAATGTGTTTGGTATAATTATGTGTGGGCTGGTGTGAGTTTGTAATTTATATTTAGAAGCTCATTCTAAAGCATTTAGCCAAAGATAACAAAACTCTGCGTTTAGGCTTAGATCATGAGGCGTCTCTTCTGTTATTGAACTCTTTCATCGACTATTAAACTTCAGTGTGTCATTCATTGTTTGAGAAAAACCAGACATTCCCCTTTATCTTTTACCTCATGTCTCTCTTCATCTACATCTATTGCCTACCCTATTTCAACATTTTGATTTCACATGTTTAATGAATCTGTTGTTCTCATTAAACATATTCACTCCCACGACTCTCCGTCTCCTTTTATTTACGATCCAAACTTTATTCGTTTTAAAATCAGAAGAACAATTCAAACTCTATAAATAACAAACAAAGATTTGTGAGTCCAATCCCCATATTTCGACGCCCTCTATATTCCATCTATTTACCAAAAGCCAGATGCGTCCTTCGAGAATGTCTTCCTATATGTTATTAGGCCTGCAGTTTAAATTTTTACACAAGTGACAAACAAAGGTGAAGAAGCAGCTGCATCTGCCAACAACACTTTTGCAGCAAGAGATGATGAACCAAATCCTGTCGGTTGTGAAGCAGAACCGATAATGCACGCGTGAATGATAGTTTCAATTTGTCTATTCTTTATTTTCAAAGTTGTTATGATTTTGAATCCATTATACATATGATTTTTAACTTTGGGTTTTCTCGTTAATTTCCGGTAAACTTCTTCCTATGAAGAGCGCAATTACTAAGTTTTTATTTTAAAAAAGACAGTGTTGACTGAATTTTGCATATTGATAATGTCCACAACTAAATGCACCAATCACTACACGTTACATGGTGACATGCATTCCTAAAGAAACATAACTGATCATGTAAACATCGCATAAATGTTCACATTGTAGCCATGCACTCAGACTGAGAGCATAAAACTCTTGATTTTTTTTCTTTCTCTTTAAAAAAGAACTTTCGATGTTTAGATGAAAACAAATGCAAACAAACTAAAGAGTCATAAACTACGGTTAAAACAACATTTTAATACCACAATATACACATATATACCCAAGTCCAATAAAAAAATAAAACATAAAAAAATCCATCCCTATATCAACAAACATTCATTTACAAAACCTGAACACAAACTTTTACGAATCAATAAATAATCTACTCAATTTCACAATCTCAAAAAAGAACTTTCCCAACACATGAATCACTCCTTCATGAATAAAATAGCACAACACCAACGATAATAAAACCGTGCAAGCGCGGGGTGGACGATCCCTAGTGTTATACAAAAGAAGAGTGTAGGTATGCAAGCGCACAGTCACTAAGTTCGAGTATGAATTTTCACACTTGACATGAGTACATGTATGAATATGCCATTTTCCCTATTTTTGACCTAGCAAGAACAACAAAATCATCCAGCAAACTCTTGTTTTTCTCTTTGTTGACATCATGACATGACCCTATTTAGATTGATGTTTTGGTATATGAAAATTGAAACTATTGGTGGATTATTAAAAGTTTAGTTTACCGATAGTTAGTTAGCGCTCTTGTTAAAGTGGAGAACCTAAGTTAATAGTGTATAGAAAGCAGTTTAGAGCATTATTATCTTATGTTTTTGGTGGGCTGCTTAGCTATTTTTTGTGTGTTGGGCCTCATCGAAAACACAAGAAACCATATCCAAATGTGCTAAAATAAGCAAATGATTTGAGGTATTGCTTGCACTGTTCGCGAGCTTCACTGATACATGGTGGCCTGCAATTGCTTCTTTTTAAAAAAAAAAATTCAAACCATTTTTTTAAAACAATCCATTTTTGGGTTGCTGCGATGATGATGCTCTTATGCAATAAATAAAATTAAAGTTGAATTTAAATGAAAAAGGTTTTTTACCGGTGATAATGTGTAATACTTCATTTATTTTAAATATGAATAATTAAGTAAATTCTACGCTAACTAAACCAATATGTTAGAAAGAGCCCAGACACATGTACTGTCGTATATTTATATCTCATATTCTCATATGTTTATATATATGTTTTGCCCAAACTATTTAATCTTATAATTATTTTCAATAATATAATTACGTACTTTAATAACTAAACATGTATGTAAAATCTACATGTGATTTAATAAAATATGTAAATATTTTTGTCACGTAACATGTTCAACGTTTAAATAATTTCAAAACATATTAAAGTTCATTTTACACTAACTAATTATATATGTTATACAAAAGAGGTGCTCTAAGACATTTATATTTAGATTTTATATATGTTTATCAGTTCAATTTCTTAAAATTTTAGTTATTTATAAATAAAATCATATCAATCTTAACTAAATTAGCAATAACAAGATACATATAAACCATAAATTATGCATATATATATTTTGTTAAAATGTATAAGACTAAAATTATATACTCAAATGTTTAAAATTTAAATTACTTATACAAAATTAGTTAAATGAGCTTAATACTAAGTACTCTTACTTTTAGAAAATAATAACGAGATACACATATACTTCATTTATATATATATATATATATATATATTTCAGTAAATATCTATTTTATATATATAGTAACTAATATGCATAGATATTTTCGAGCAGAGTTGTATAACAATAACATTATATACTTTAAAGAGATTTAGAAAAATGAAAATATTTATAAACATAATTAGATAACTGCATTTAATGTTAACTAATTCTATATTTTGAAAACAGTAACGTAAAGAAACACGTGTTCAAGTAGTATTGGTCACTTAGATTTTTGTGTTAAGAAACACGTGTTCAAATCGAAGTCTTAAGTGATAAGAAAACTTAGATTTTTATGAACCTCGTGGAATTAATCATGAATCTAAAAAAAAAAATGGGATCTCTACGGAAAACACGTGTAATTAAACAAAATAGGAATGTATATTTACAGCTAAAATGAGTAATATTGAGATTTTTTTCTAAATTCAGAATAAGAGAAATCAATGTTGACTACATTTAAAAAAAACAAAAAAAAAGTCGTGTAACTCGTGAATTATTTATATACGACAAAATAAACCGATATTAATTAAAATGGTTGTATTACATATTTTTATTTTTATTTTTATTTTTATTCTTTATTCTTTATTCTTTTTTTGTTAAGGGCTGTTAGTTGCTTCAAACTTATCTGTTGAACATATCATCATTACCTCTTAGTAGAGCTTTAATGAAAAACTGGAAATCTCCAAAGAGGAGTGTTCTAATACAATTTGACACCTTGGGGCAATTTTGCTCTAAAAAGAAGTATTTGCTTATAAGACTCAAACTCCTATGATAAAAATGTGCCCATAGGAAATGTGATCATGCCAGCGTAATTTTGCATGAAATATCGCATAAAAAAACTTTGAATTATCTTTATTTTCATCTATACAAAATAAAATATAATAATAAATCATTACATTATTTGTTTTGGACATTTAAAAAACGAGAAAAGGACAGAAAATGCGTGGGAGAAAAAGAAAAGGAGTAAAGAGAAGAAGTAAAATAAGAGAAAATCGGGTCTTTGAAGAGAACGTCCCATTCCATTAGGCATGCAATGCGCGGCCGTGAAAGAAGCTCACTCCTCTCCTTTTTTATTTATTTAATTATAATTACATACAATGTATCATTTTAATTAGCTTGTTCATATACTTAATTCGAGTGTTTGTCTATGTTTCGAAAAAGTTTATTAATGCTTGCAAAAAGTCATTTTCCATTAGATTCTCTGTTCACAGAAAATAAATAGCTTTGACTAACAAATATGGATACAATTTAACAGTCATTGTTTATAGAGAACTACTTATAAACATTTAAGATTGAGACACCTAGGAGGTGATAGATTTTAATTCATAAAAAGAACTTCTCATCATTACCACATCACAATATCTTTCTTCTTTTTTTTTTTTTGGTTTTATATCCAATTGGTCAAAGACAGAGAGTACTTATCCTATCTTTCTCTCAGCTCCTTCTGTAATTTCTTGAATCCTCTGTCTATTCTCTATTGAAAGACCAAAGAGACGATAGAAAGAGACAAAAGAAGTCATTAAATGTTTAAATAAAGCACGTAATAACAACAAATTATTACGTAATAATAATTAATATAAATTAATTTTCTTTTTTTGTGTAAAAGATAAAAATTAAATATCACTTCCAAATATCATCAAACATTCTCAAAAATGAAAGTTCACCCTTTCTTCCTTTTCTCTATATATCTAGACTCATAAACACACAGAGACTTTATATATACAAATACATATACACATATAAACATCGTATATATCAAGTCACATAGAGAAAAAAAAAAAATCTCCTCTGTTTCCTCCTTGATCGGAGCTAGGGTCTCCGTCTTCCAAAGGAAATGGACGGTGGTGGAGAGACGAATGTGACAAAGGCGAGAGGGATGAAGAAAGGGCCATGGACGACGAGGGAGGATGCGATCTTGACGGAGTACGTGAGGAAACATGGGGAAGGTAACTGGAACGCCGTGCAGAAGAACTCAGGCTTGTTCCGGTGTGGGAAAAGCTGCCGTCTACGGTGGGCGAATCATCTCCGACCAAATCTCAAGAAAGGATCTTTTAGTCCTGATGAAGAGAAGATGATCATCGACCTTCATGCTAGCTTGGGAAACAAATGGGCTCGCATGGCTACTAAGGTTATTTTTTTTTTTCTCATAAAATCTTTTTTTTTTCTTCTTTTCATTTTAAAAGATTTAAAGCTTTTCCTTTCATTTTTTTTGTTTCTTGAATTTTATAATTAAAGAGTTTTAAAATTTATATTCAATTAATATTTTCTAGTTAAAAACACATAATTTGCATGTTTCATTGTGTGTTTGAATCTCTCTTTCTTTTCGCATGATTTTTCTTACATCTCTATTTTTTTTTTGTGTGATCCTTAATTAATAATAGATGATTTTTTTTCTTTCCATGTTGTAGTTACCTGGACGAACAGACAACGAGATCAAGAACTATTGGAACACAAGGATGAAGAGAAGACAACGTGATGGTTTGCCTCTATACCCTCCAGAGACTCAGCATCAAGGGACTACTGGTAATGATGGTGAGGTTGAATTTGAGTTTAATTCATTTCAATTCCAAAACCAAAACCAAAACCAAAACCATGGTAATCACCAAAACATGTTTCAATACACCAACTCCTCTAATACTCCATCATCCTCTTCTTCTTTCTCTTCTTCATCTTCTCAACCTTCAAAACAGATTTGCTTAGATCCCTTAGTCTCTTCCAATCCTAGTCTAAACCAGATCCCCGAGTCTCCCATGAAATTTCCATTGTTCTCTTATTACAACAATAGCCCTGAGATTGACCATTGCCTTGAGAATGAGTTTTTAAAATACTCATCCTCATCATCCAATGAGTTTTGCAATCCAAACCAACTTCTTGAGCTACCATCCGAGGATTCGGACACAAACAATAACAATAAGAAAGAGATTGATGCTATGAGTTATAGTTCATTGCTTATGGGAGATCATGAGACGAGACTTAGTTCTTTCCCTTTCGGACTAGACAATACCGGCCTAGAGTTTCCTTCAATCCAATCACCGGCCCATTGGTTCACTTCGAATACTGTACTTGACGCTGGTGTCCACCTTGATCCACCTGCGGGTAACAGTGGACTGCTTGACGCTGTCTTGGAGGAGTCTCAAGCCTTGTCTCGCCGCAGAAACTTCAATGACTTCACAGTTTCTTCGAGTGGTCTAGGTGAGGATCCAGACAAGAAAGTGAAACTGGATTGTGAGAACCGGTTGATTAACCATAATTCTTCTCATGTATCATCATTCGGTAAGAACTTATATTTTAATTTAATCCATTTTTATTTATACATTTTGGTAGTACCCATTAATTGATATTGCACAGAAGCCTAGTAGATAAATTTAGTTGTTTTGGTTTTATAAAACAGTAACCAAAACATGTATTGTTTTTTTTTCTTTTGTAATTGAATTTTTCATCTTAACTAATGTTTAAATGTTAAATGAACAGAAACAAACTCTAAATTTTACGAGAGGTACAGTGAGCCAACGATGGAGAAGGCAACAGTGGATGATGATGACGACATATTGATGACCCTTCTCAACAACTTTCCAACCACACCATTGCCTGATGATTGGTACGAGACGAAAGATGTCCAAAGGGAAACCTCAGTGAGCGGAAACCATCAATATAACAACAAGGTGGAACCACAGAAGGTGAAGCCTTCGCCCGGTACTGTAGATCCTCTGGCCTCGTTGGAGTCATGCTATTGGGACAACATGCCTGGAATCTACTAATTTGGAGAGTCTCTCCATAAGCTTTGCTTATTTGGTATTCCGAAAAAAGGGAAAAAGCTAATTGTGATCATTTGATTCCGTTTGTGTAAAATATTTCGAAGTTATTCAGTTTGGATTTGCTCTGGACTCTATTGTTAAACATGTTTTCAAGAGCCTTAAAAAAACAGAAGTGAGATTTAAAAGAAATGAGTTTGGGCTTATAGATTTCTCTTTGTTAACTCATATTTTACTCTTTTACTTAGTTCATTTTTTTGGGTAAGTTAAATCCTACTCTTAGATTTGATAATCTAGATTTACCAAACTCAATTTATAAAACAATAATGCTTACCATTTTACAATCAATTAACACTAGTGGATTAGTTCATAATCTTTATATATTACAAATTATATCGTCTTTAGAATAAAAAAGCCGGCCTTTTTACGCAAAAGGCCGGTAGCCCAAAAACTTATGGATCATTAAAACTATGCATAAATTTTATTTTAAGAAATTCTAATTCTTTATCTTTAATAGAATTTTTTTTGATCCACTATACATTTTAGAGGATTATTGTCAAATTAATCGAGAAAGTAAATTTATCATTTTCAGCCGAAAGCTCATGTTTCTAGTGCTTATTGCCAATGTTTTTTTTTAGCATAGCTTATTTCCAATGTTTGACTATAACATGAACAATATCTGCTGAATTCAAACGTAAATTTTAACAATGTTACTACCAATAAACCCAAGTAGTGTACAACCTTTAAAACCTACATCTTGAGGATCTCGGAATATAATAAACATGGACGATTAACGCCAATTGGTTAGGTTATATATAATTTGAGTTGTAATAAGGAGAAGAATTATTATCCACGTTAGGAAGAGCTATTACGTATAAATTGGGACATGAGTAATGTACTTGGTAGCGAGACGACTATGCTAGTTGCATGCACTGCCGTTTGCTTATGTCATTTGCAAATTATTCCACACTCTTCCAATAAATAATCTCCTTAAATTTCGGTGACCCAAGCAAGAAAAAAAATAAAAATGAAGATAGATAATAATGTGCAAGTAGTCAATGTATATTATTCGTGATCTTTATATATACCTTGCACCTTACCTGAGTTCTGACATCACACTCCAGTTCTAGGTCAGAACTCTCTTTAATTCATTCTACATTTCATTTTACTTTATTTCTTTTATATGTCAATCCGGATGACCATAAAGAAAAGGAAATTAAACATTATCCTCAGATTATATTCTTTTTCTGGACATACTTTTTTTTTTTGGAACACTGTTTTTCTGGACATACATTTCTATAAAATGCCATGTCATATGATAGTGGGTCAGATAGTACCATGCGCTATTTTAAAGCTAAAAACTAGATCTCGACCCGCACAACCGTGCGGGTATTTTAATACGAAAATATTTGAAATTATACAATACTCACTCCGTTTTAAATAGATGATGTTTTATAAGATTTATTTTATTTCAAATTATAAGATGTTTTGAAATTTTAAGGTATATTTTGAGGTTTTAAAGTTATCTTTAATTTTATTTGAAACTGTTTAACCGATAAAATTTTACTCTTTTTAATAATTTGTTGAGTTATAAAATTTATCAATAAATAAATATAATTTGATTGTATATACTATCCAATTTTATAATAATATTTATGTAGCTTATAATTTTACTAATTTAAAATTTATAAATTTGAATTTTTGTAACAATTTTTAAAAAATTATTATGTAACATTACTAATTTATATATTTTATTTATTTCTAAATTTTAAATATATAAAAAGTAAATTAAATTGGACCTAATTAATACATAAACAAAATTTTGGATATTTTTAAAAGTATATTACATAATTTTAATTTTTTGTTAAAAAAAGAATTAAATTTCAATTATATTCTATGATAATTAAATTTTTAATCAAATAATTTTTGAAACTATATCTTGAAAAGATTCTATAAGATTTTAAAAGATTTTGTTAGAATTTTCTTATAATTATTTATTTATATTTCAAACAAAAATTAAAGATATGAAAAGATATTATACTGATGTTATGTAAGTTTATATAAAATTTCTAAAGATGGTCCAAACTAAAAAATCACACATGAAGTGAGTCATGACTTCTCTTTTAATATAATAGATGAACTATTTCAGAGCATTAATACGCAAATTAGAGATTTTAGATTCTGCTCTGGTCTAATATCTAGACATAGCTGGTCTTATATAAACCGATATTTTTAAAAATATTTAGTAGTTTTGAATACTCGGCCAAGCCTATGAATGATAAAAAGTTACGACCATTGACATAATCATATAAATCTAAAACTGAGTGGAAAATAATAATAATAATATTACAAAAAGATTAAAAAAAAGTATTTCTTCACAAATATTTTTCAGGACAAATATTGAGAAAATGAAAGCTGATTCTTGAATACGAGGATAGATTCTCAAAATGAGGAAGTAAAAAAATTGGTGCGTCCACTTCTTGTAAGCATAATGCATGGTCTTCTTTGGGACGTCTTTGGAGTCTCTTAGAGAACGTGTTGAAAATTTGACCTAGACATCTCATATAGTGCTACATTTAAAGACACTATGATTTCTGACAGAAAAAAAAACGAAGTATATATGTTAACTTTCGTGATCCATGGGCTACACCTCCCCTTAGGGATTAGTCTACGAATCTGGGATATCTCAAAGTAACGGTTAATCAAAAAAAAAAAAAACTTTGATGGAAGATGATATTACGGAGAGGAAGATCAGACCGGCTCAACAGAGTTGGTTCTTGGAATAACTTGTTGACAAAATTAAAAAATTAAGCAAATTAATGTAATAACACAAGAAAATGGTACCAAGGAGGCATAAAACATGATGCAATTCTCTTCAAAAGCTACTTGGATGCTCTTATGAGATGAGAAGCCAGTATGTAACTGGAGTAGAGTTTGGTTCATTCATGCATCCCTGAAGTATGCTTTTCTAGTAAGCGGTAACGGAAAGTGATGCATAAATATCAAATGGGGAAGGGATGCAAAAGTGAAGTGCAAATGTGAATACATAATCTTAAGTTTAAACCACAATGGAGATGCAGAAGCATTTGTTATTCACATGTCAATTTTCTGCTAAGGTATGAGAAGATTTTGCACAAGGGATACTGAAAGATATATATATATATATACTGATGACTGAAAGTGTTTCCAAAATCCATAAATAAAACTATTGGATACATATATTTTTAATAAACATAATTCAAACCAAAGCCGGTTTGGACTGAGTTCTAAAAAGAGGAGACAATGAACATGAGAAGAAAATTATACGTTTGGTAAAGGACCTACTAGTTTGAAGATGATTTTACTGCGCCGTTTTGGTGATTCTTGCCAAGCAATTATCTTTAGGTCTGGTGTGAGGCAAAAACATCACCGGACAACCAGGATTGCTCCGCTCCACCCTGCAGTTTCACCATTTGGAAACAAAACATTATGAATATGCAGCCATATGAAGAGTTTTAGAACTAGAAAGCTAAGCTTATGCAGAGACAGAGAGCTACCGGTATTTGAGGAGGAAATGATGAAGAAAAATGGAAATCTCAAGCTTGGCAAGATCGTTTCCTGGACAAAGATGGCTTCCCAAACCAAAAGGAAGGAATGTGCCTGCTTTTGGTATATATCCCTGTACAATGAACCCATGTTTAGTTTCTTTTGACATGTATTTAGAGTTTTGCAGCACCAAACTACAAGTTACAAAGACAGTCTACTTGTCCAACGCAATACAACTCTGTTAAACTCTACATACCTCCCATCTTGAAGGATCAAATTTCTTTGGATCAGGGTATATCTCAGGATCCAGGTGAACGTCCCTAAACCAAGTCAGAACCTTCCAGCCTTTTGGTATGATATAACCTAAATACAAAAATAAAACATGAGAAATGAATATACAAAAAATATGTTGTGATGAGTATAGACTGACCATTCATTTGGACATCACTCTTTGCTTCCCGGAAGGCTGTAAGAGAGAATGTTATTACTCGAAGTGTCTCATCAATAACCTGAGAAAGATATTCCATTTCACGTGTCTCTTTAAGAGTCAAACTCTGTCCCGGTGCTCTCTTTTTCACAATCCTCTCTTGTTCTTCCTGTGGTGACACAAACTCAAGATTGCAAAATGGAATTGTAAAAGAAGTATAAAAACCATATCTCCTCATTTTTACCTTTGCCTTTTGTAGAATCTCAGGGTGTTCTTGCAAGAAAATAGTAGCCCACATAATGGTGTGTCCAGAGGATTCATGACCAGCATTAAGATACATCAACAAAACGTCTATAATCTCCTCATCCTCTAGAGTTCTCCCCTTTTCATCTTTAGCATCTATTAGATTATCCAACATATCTTTCTTATTAGATGACACATTCTGCTTCCTTAGGTTTCTTCTGTTAGTCACTGAGGACTGAAAGGCAGCTACAAGTTTTTTCCTGGCCTATATAAATTAAAAAACACTAAACCCTTAAGCCCCAAGAACTATGCACAAGTAGGAATCAAAGTGAACTTGTTTGTTTACCTTGAGTGCTTTATGATAAGCAAAGCCAGGAATATTAATAGCCATTGCTCTAACTCCATAGTTAAGGTTGGTGTATTCTCTTTCCAATGCATCCATGACATGCTCACTCTCTGTGCTCATGAATATGTACATAATGATCCTAAACGTTAGCTTACGCACATGAGTCAAGAACTCGATTTCTCCCATTTTGGACCAGTTCTCTAGAGCAGTAACAACAGTTTCTTCAATGTACTTTATGTAGACAGAGAGAGCTTCATGTCCATTGACAGGAGCAGCTGTCAAACGTCTCAGCCTCTTGTGTTCTTCAAATGAGATACCAATAAAAGACTTCTTACCAATGAGCTCCATGGTGGATTTTGGCCACCCTGGCTGGAAGCAGTCATCATCCGTTAGAACTTTCCTACAAGTCTCTGGTGTTGTTACTATTACACTTGGGTTTCCAAACATGTGTACTTTGTAAACACCGTTACGCCCATACCTGCATCATTGAGCAAACAGAGAACATGAGTTAGTTGTCAATCTAAGCAGGAACAAGGGAGGAAGAGGTACCTTGTGGTGTAGGTTCTGATGAAGGAATCAGGATCAGATGTTTTGAAAGCTCTAAGAAAGGGTAACATGTTGCCTATGAAAGGCCATCCCAAATCTCCTGGTGGTAGATAGTGTCTTGTCTCCCCAAGTTTGGACTCATAAATCCAAACATTCACTCTCTTCAACACCCATTTAAGAACAAACAATCCCAGTACTACCAAAGGTAACCACATCAGGACCCAAACCGTTTTAGTCATAGCTTAATCTTATCTCAAGATTCACTCTCTTTTTCACCTCAGCCTCTTGTATCTATGGATGTTATATCATTACCTTGAAGATAGATAGATAGACATATAAATACATGGAAAGAGTAAGCAGATATTAAACAATTAATGTTTACCTTGTAGTAAGAGATAGATATAAAGGAGATTTCTCTCTGATTACAAAGAGAGTAAACAGACAAAGACATCAACAGTGGAACAGTGTTGTTGAGACAAAGACATTACCTAGAACAGTGGAACAGTTTTGTTTGAGTCTATCAAGAAAAATGATACTTATCTAGACTTTTAAAAACTAAAGAAACTCGACCGCTTGTTTCTATCTACTTTGTTTGGTTGCTGTTCACATGGAGTGTAAATTCATGACCATACTTCCATTTCCCATTATAGCTCTATATAGCCTTCTCTAAGCATATTACTTTTTTGAGAAAGCAAGTTACTTACCAAAACCATACTAGTTTTACATATTCTTGATCACAACAATCACATAAAAACATCTATAAAATTAAACGAGACAGCTCTCAAAATCATAGTAATTCACATATATACAGAGCCACTGAATCCAAAGGCAGACCAAAACTTTGCATGTAACACTAGTGGAATGGTGAAGAAGAGAGACTGTAAAGTAAATGTTAAGAAGAATACAAAGAGGCCGTAAATGGTGGTGAAGAAAAACAAAGAGCCCACACATTCCCAACACAATACATCAACAGAAAACAATTTAACACAAGAATCCAAAAAAGGAACAAAGACACATTTAACTCCAATGAATATCTCGTGAATGAATCATTAAAAGACAGAAACAACTTTATTTCTTGTTGGTTCAGTTTTGCTCTCAAGCGTTACTTTTATTTTCTTGTTTTAACTCTTTTGTTTAGCTTCCTAGCAGAACAAATATGGAACCAGAGACTATATGGCACATGTTGGATAAAAGAGAATTCATATTTATTTCTTTGTAACAAATATATAAAACCTTCGTTTCTTGACAAAGAAAAAATCTGAAGTAGAAGGCTTTCAAACTTGAAATCATTTTTTTATTCCAAATTCGAAACTCAGTCAAATCAATAATAGTTTGTAAAAATTGTACTAAAACCCACAAAAGCTACTTCACTCCCAAACAACAACAGAAAAAAAAAAAAACAGAAAGAAGCAGGCGCGTTTGCTGTTGCGGCTGCAACTGGTTTCCTCCTACTATAACGGAAACTCTTATCACAGACCGTTCTTAAACACTAAACTTTCATGAGGTTCATATACTTATATCTCTCTATATAGTCCTCTCTGATGTAAGTAACTATGATACAATCATTACAAAAGTAGATAAATCTCTTGGTTCCTCAAAGAATATTGCAGAAGAAGAATTGTTTTCTGCGTGACCATCATTTTGATGACCATTTCTTTATATTGATCTATATTTATATGTTGGTGGAAAGGCCTCAAAATCTAGCTTTCCAGACAGCGTTTTCCGGTTCACCACATCGCTTGTGAACCTCCTTAATGCGATCAGCGGATCTGCAGATACCACTACATGTCCAGTCAAATGAAGCTACACATATGTTCCCTGCTTGTGCCTTCCATTCACAATCTGCAATTCCCCTCAAAAATAAGATTCAAATGTTCATTGAGGTAGAAGTTTAGCATTTACTTCAAAGCAAACATTCTAGTTAGGTGCATAGAACTAACAAAGCTAACATTTCACCACACTCCACAATCATATAGAAGATATTGAACTGAGAATGTACCAGGAGGAGTGCCGCAACATAGTCTTCTGTCATCAATATGGGTGACATCAAGACCGATAAACCAAGCACCCAATGTAACATCCTCATTTGCGTATTTGTGCAGAACATTCCTGAAGAAGCATTATATTAACACCAAGGGATTAGAGAATAAGGTATGATTACAAAAGATATACAAAGAAGAAGTTCAAGTCTTATACTGATTAAGGGAAATATAAGAAGCCAAGTCTCTTGAAATAGCATAAAGCTGTCCAGTAGCGTGACGGAAGTACTTGTTTCCGTTCTCACCAAACTTCCAATACTCTGGCTCATGGTACCTAACTCCTCTGCTCCATTGACAAAAGCAAAGATCAGTTAAAACCAAAATAAAGAAACTGATTCAAGAAGAAGAAGGGAACTGAGAGAAGTTGGATATACTTTTGAGATAGGACTGGACCAGATTTCATGCAACCTATATAGACTCTAGGTTTTTTCCTGTGTCTAACAAGCGTTTCCCCAAGAGTTGCTGTTGTTGTTTCAACAAAAAAAAAAGGAATCAATTCAACGTTAATGACTGAATCTTTTACATTTTATTTTTCTGGTAGAAGGTTTTTGAAGAGCTTACCGATATTTACATGAACATCATCATCTACTTTGACATAGAAATCAGCATCCCACATTGAGACAGCTGTAGAGAAATATGTTTTTGTTTTGCCTGATAACTCAAGGTATCCTTCAACATGGTCCTGTTAAAGGTATCACAAAATGAAGATAAGAATAACAGCTTTTGCCATCAAAATCTCAAGTTAACTTAAGAAAAGAGAAAAAAAAATACCAATCTCATGAAATCACCATGCTTCTTGTCCTCTGCTTCAATGGATCGGTCTAGTATACCCCCAGCCGTGGCACTAAAGAACCAATGACAAACATAATCAGATACACAGAGATTCATCTCAGAAACTAAGTAAGAACATAGTGACTGATTCCATTAATACTAAAAGGCTTAAACTCTCACCTATGACCAATCACAAACCGGATAATAATTCCCTTTTCTTCTTCCAACTTCTTTCTTTTTTCACCTACAAGCAGAGTATTTTTGACATGAAGCAACCATCAAGACATGAGCACCTTTAAAGATTAAAAAAAAGGAAGTTAGAAAGTGAAACCTTGAGGCATCCAAGTAGTTCGAATAGAATCTCTTCTCTTTCGGCTACTAAAAGCAGTATTAATCCCTACAACCATCAAATATCTTCTTTTCTTCCCTTGTAATTGCTTCTTCTCCACATCATTCGATTCAGGAGCACCGTTCGTTAGAGACTCTTGAGCTGATCTTGCTGCAGCTAACTCCATCTCTAAGCTTGAAATGGTCTTATCCAATGTCCTAAAGTAAAACAAAGAAACGTTTTAGAAGATTATGTAATTTGTTTAAGCATTTTTTATATTTTAAATCTTACTGTAAAGCGTTATGAGTCTTGGAGACGTCTCCAAATAGAGCATGGGGATCGCGTTTTACTTCTTTCTGGTAAAGCTAAAAAGATTTAAAAAAAAACAATCAGATCAGTTTAAGAAGTCTTCTACAAATTAACTGAACCAAAAGGATCACATGACATAGACAGACACTTACGGTTTTAGGACCACATCCCTCGGAGATAAGCTTCAACCTTTCAGCGTCTGTCACGGATGGTCTAGCCATTTCGTTAGACTCTGGAATATTCCACATCCTGCAACAACAATTACAAAAAAAATTAAATCAACATCTCTCGTAGCTTATAACAAAGGTGTGAAACCAATCATCATCATGTGAGAGAGATCAAAGTTTTGAATCTTTTCCATTTACTTATCAAGAACTACGTAACATGTAATTATGAAATAGAGTTTCTAATCGGATCTTATGGATTGATTTGAAACTATGAGAAACAGAGTATAATAATAAATAAATAAAAACACTTGAAAATTCAAAAAAAAAAATTAAACTAATAATACCTATCGGTGAAGAAAATACCGAAGCAGAAACTTGCAAAACAGAGAAGAAACGTCCATCTTCTTGATACGAAGCTTTTAGAGTAAAGATTCTCTACTTTGATCTTTGGGGACATTATTTTTCTCCTTCTACGAGACCAGAGGTTCCAAGAAACCAAACAGTATCTTATATCTATACCATAAGATGAATCAAACTTCTAAACCAGCTACACACACAACAAAAAGAGCAGCTCAATCTTTCAGAGCTTCAGAAACAAGAATCTGAGATTTCAGAATCTGAAATTTTTACTACATAAGAAGATGGTGTTAAAGAGAGTTTGGTTCTCTCTCTCTCTCTCGGTGGCTCTTTAAATTCGCAGGGACGTGAAGTAGAAGAGAAGGGGACGTTGAAAGAGAAGGAAGAAGAAGTAATAAGAAGACGACCTCTTAACCGTCCGGTTTACTTATAACTAATTCACGGCTGATAATTGTCTTGAATTTACCCAACTATCCCTATCATACCGTTTTTTTTAATTTATTTCCCAATAAATGAATTGCTCTTTTAGTTATAGATGAATTAAATTTAGAGGCGCTTTTTATTTGCAAAACAAATTACAAATAAATAGTGTGTTTTCTGGTGAAAAAAAGTTATAGTACTAGTTTAGTGAAGACTTTAAATCTACATTTTGACCCGCATCATGCGTATGAGATTGATGTAGTTGTTAATTATTTATTGGACAAAACGTATACAAATAAGTTATTTTATATTTAAAAATTACTTTCCTTTTGTATCTATTGAATTAATAAATTGGAGTTAGGACACCTATAATCACCACTACAGATAGTGATGTATACGGAATTAGTGCTATAAATCTATAATATTTCCAAAATCTGTCTTTCTCCTTTTTGTATGTGTTTATGTTTATATTTCAAAATTTTCTAATATTAGATATATAGTACTATATATAATCTGATCATCATAACTTGAATACAGAATTGAGTATATAAAATCAATATTTTGAGAAATTTTGTTTTGTTTCGGTGTAACGTCGGTCGATGTTGAAAGAATAAAGGGCAAGGTCGAAAGGAAACGGTTGATGAATAAAGGTAAGGTGGTCCTCAGCTTTTCTCAGCAGATAACACATGATCTTACACGGCACACACATTGATAGGATTCGTTATTTAACTACCTTTCTTTAATTGATGAAAATATTAGTTACACCATGAATATCATTTCCATTTACAGCCAGGAAGTCTCTGGGTTTAGATATATACCTAATTCCAATAGTAAAGAAAAAGTAAGGGACCATATTCTATCAAAAGTTGGTTCTTCTAAAGTAATCATCACTTGACTTTTGCAAACTTCTACGGTACTAAAATAAATCTACTTGCTCTCTTGTTGACTAAATATATGACGTGAAACGATTGGCTTGTCTTGTTTCTAATATATGACTTTGCACGTCGGCAGATTGTAGCTAATACTATGGTTCCCAACTTGTAAAGCTTGCAACTATGTAAAAATTATTTGAAACTCACATAAGCCAAATCAACAAAAATATGAAAATGAATGGGGAAGAAAAATGAAGTAAAAGAAGAGGACAAAAAATTTGTCGCGCTCACTTATGTATATTTTCATTTTCCCGTTCCTTTTCTATTTTTTTTTTTAACTTTTTTCTTGTCTACTTAATTAATGTATTTTCTAAATACTTTAAAATCTACTTAATTGCTAGCAAAAATTTTATTCTACAATTTTGTTTTTACACATTTTCTGATATAAACCGACTTACTAGAACCGGCATGATAGTCGTTAAAAGTGAAGTCCGGTTGGAACGTGTTTATTATGACTGATTAGGTAGTAAAACTGAGTGCTGAGACAAAACAGTGAGAATGTTGTAGCAAAAATAGAAAACAGTAATTGATACCATAATAGTTATAAGCGAAAATAGCAGTAAGAGATACTGCTTACAATAAAGCTGAAGTGTATTTTGACTAATAACTTTTTGTCACAAAACTTAATAATATTAGAGGTATGTTTGTAGTTTTAACAAACAAAAAAAGTTCAATGCCTTTCCTTTTTATTATTTTAATATGGATTCTATACAATTAACATTCAGCATATGCCACGGCCGACACTGTGTTCTATATGAAAATTTAAAAAGACAATTGATGTTAGAAACTCTTAACACTCTTCATAAACTTCAAACATATTCTGAAATTCGAGATGAGACATATGGGTGTGAATTTGAAAACGGTTATTACTTAACTCAAAAAAGTCGACTTAGGAAATAAAGTTCTTTTTTTGGAAATAGAGTTAAATGTTGTCCAATATCTATTTATCGTTTAATGATACACACATAGATGCAGTGAAACTTGGTTACATTTGTAGCCGTACACAGAAACAATCATTGAGGTAGCATGAAATGATTTATCCCATCTATTTGACTAAAACAATTGATTTCTTACCGAGAAAAATAATAGTAGAAACATGTGACACATGACTTAAAGCGTCCAAGCCAATGAAAGTTATTAGTGATTAGCAACTATTCCCACATGCATTCCCAGGTCGTTTGCATGCTTTTGGTTGGTTAATTAGCGACAGTCTTCATTTATATATCACCAAATCATCACGAATATGGATCATAATTAAATTTAAGATGATCTACTCCTTATTTTGTTTTGGTGTATCAAGAAATTTTCATTTATTAAAATTTTAATAAGTACATTCTATTTGCTATAACAAATATAATATGAATATTAACTTAGTAATTAGTTATCATTTTTCTATAGAAAAATATACAAATAAAAAGTATTGATGTCTATATCATCGCTATTAACATTTAATTTACAAAAAAAATAGCATCGCCATTACCAGTTCAAAGAGAAAAATATCGGACTAATATTTATCCATTCACAAGTTCACAACAAAATGTAAAATTTGTTAACATGAATAACGCATAGTTTTTTTTGTTTTTTTTTTGTTTCGAGCACTTGTTCAATGAACTGAAGTAGAAATTCTAATCCGGATAAACTATAAGGTGGATTACTTTAACTAAGTTTACAGAGAAGAGCACTTCATCTAGCCATATTTGTTAATTATAAAGTCTTAACAATATTGCAAAGAAAAAAAACAAAACTAAAAGAATCATGAACTGCTTCAGAAAAAAAAAAGAAAGAAGAATCATGAACTTGAAATTATAAAAAAAATATAAAAACTTTTTTGTATGAAAAAACTATTATTCGTTTCCTTTAAATTATAGAAGAAAAAATGCGCTACTGACGGACTGACGGGAGGGGCACTTGCGAGAGAGGACGGTCGGAATAAAGTACACGTGATGTGGTTTGTCACTTGACCATGTGTCTTCACCTAATTGGATAGTCAGTTGATTAGATCCTGCTCAATCATGTGATGCTTTTCCGTTTTCCGTCACGTGGCACTGCGCAGCATGTGGATCCGACATCACGAGTTCATGCCACGTGGCATATGATTATGTTAGAACCATGAGTTTTGGTCACTTTGTGTAACTTGTATCCAAGAACAATACCACATGACCTAAGCTCATAAAATCAACATAGTTCGGTTTATGTACTTTTAGTTCTATTTATATAGTAGATGTCAGTACCACGCTATCCATTTACCATTATTCATCTTTTGGTTTTATACTTTTATAGAATTATTTTGTTTTCACTGTCATATTTTCTTGCTAGTTTTACCAAAAAAGTTTGATTAACTATATGCAGTAAATGATTGTCAATCTAGCTTCAGCAAAATGTATAGGCATTACTAATATGAAATTTTGAATGTAACTTTGAGAATGATTTGCGACCTGAAAAAATAAAGAATGATGTGACACTCCAAGATTGATGGTACTTTAATTTTGGATTTATTTTATTATGGGACTTATGTCCTAGGGAACACGCATACGTTGTACTAGAGGATACATGAAAGTCATTAGATGCCCTACTTATTAATTTCTGGACCCTGTGTAATATGCAATTCTTTAATCTTTAGAGACGATACTCTCATGGACATTTCTGAAGTAAAAAAAGTTCATGTAAAATATTACATTGATGCCTGTGCCATGGCATCTGTTCCAAGGAGCCAGTTCAAATGAACTTACTTAGATGAACAAACTGACTGAAAAATGAATTTTGATTGGATCAATGCTATAAAAATTATGTTAGGGTTTCTTTATGTTATCCTACTTCAGATCTCTCCTTGATAAGTGTTCTCCGGAGCCCGTGGAATCCAAAACAGATGTACTACTATTCATTTGTATAATTACCTGAAATTTAATTTATTAATACGCACAAATTTTGAGTCACCATAAACCAATCAGTTGATATATGCAGATATTAGATATATACTGGTTACGTAGTATTACGAGTAAGTCAAACGAATCAAATTAAAATCGCCATACCAAAAAGTGAGGTAGAGAGCTACGTTACATATGCATAAACATGTGCATGTACATCATACATGTATTTTATATGTATACACATGCACCAATAATTCAGATAATGTAGTGTGTCGTTTAAGTATGTACAAGGTACATATGCACAGACTGTCAATTTGTTAAAATCATTCATGAAAGGTACGCCTTGTTCTTTTTTTTTTTGAACACCAAGTACGCCTTGTTCTTTTTTTTTGAACACCAAGTACGCCTTGTTCTTTTTTTTTTTGAACACCAAGTACGCCTTGTTCTTTTATGTGTGTTTTTATCCTTTTTATCCTGATAACCCGGTTACGCCTATTTGATAATGTTATGCCCAATCACCAACCAATATTACTTTGTGAACCGGTTTGGTTGTTCAAATTATATGAATCAAATATCTCGTTTACTACACAAACCATGGTACAAAACTGAATTGGTTATAGTGAATGCCAATATCGAGAAGAGCCAAAATATGGATCAAATTGGATTCATTAACCCGGTCAAAATAGGTTTACTTTGGTAGGTGAGAGTCTAAAAGGATTAGGTTAGGTGCTTTGCTTGTAAGAGAGGAGACTTTGTGCTTTTTTAGGAACACCAAATTTAAATGGTTGGTTTGGTCTATATGATTTTCAAACTAGCCCCAAACTTCCAAATCCAAATACATGTATGATGTATGCGTACAATGCATATCGGGTTCTTGTTGGTACTCGTATTGTTAGAGATTTACGACATAATTAACCTCGATCTTTTAGTCGGGTGTCTTAGCTAATGATTTGACCTTTT